AGTGAACCTCCTCATAGCAGATGAAGAGACAGCAGTGGGAACAAAGACACAGAGGGGCTGGTGTGAGATGGGGGAAGGCACGGGGAGGTGAAGCTGCCAGGCTCCCACCCAGGGCCAGGTGGGGAGTTCGGGCTCCGCTCTGGTGACTTCTTGACGTCTGGGACGGCTCTGGAAGCTGGGACCCCTGTGAACAGAGCTGGCAGCAGCGTGAAGGGTGGTTTAGGGAGAGGGAACAGCTGTGGGACAAGACAGCCCAGCCTTGCTCCTCAGCCCAGTGTCTTAGCATCCTTTAAAACCTGGACGAGTCCTTCCATGATCTTATTTTCAAACTAGGGACTGAGACCTGTGATTCCCAAAGGCGCAGGATGAGGTAGTGGGTTGTAGCCACGTTAAAAACAACGACAACAATGAATTAGAAGAGAATGGAATAAAACAAAGGACCTCATTGCACCTCACAAGGGTATTCAATCAAACCTGCTTCAGGCTTATGGTTTGTGGGGGTACCGCACCGTGACGTACGTGGGAAAGGTGTGTGCTGGCCAGGGCTGTGCAGTCATGGGGTTGGCCCCGGCCCGGGGCATCAAGCCCGGGGCCTTCCCTGGACACACACCTTTCAGGCCCTGCCCTGGGGGACAGTAGAGAAGATGAGGCCTGAGGTCCCCCAGAACAGGAAGGGCTGAGGGGAAGCCTCCAGCAGGATGGGTCAGTGTGAAATGAAGCACTCGGGGGAGGCTTTCTGGAGGTGGCTGAGTATGACCTTGGAGGTGGCTCAGATTCTGACCCCAGGGCCTTTTGAGGAGAGGGGAGAGATTCTGCCAACCAACAGAAGAGAAGTTGCCAAGACGCACTGGGAGTGGGGCAAATGAAGGTTTAAAATGGAACCCGAGGCCCAACGTGGATACAGAATCCAAACGGAGCTTGAAGAGCCTTAAGTATCATCAGCCGACACGTTCAAGTTACAGAAGAGGGAACAGAGGCCTTTCGGCCCAGCCTGTGCCCACCTGGGACGTGAGTGCGGGCTCTGAAGTCTTCTGGTCCCATGCTCTTCTGGGCCACGCCGTCTCCAAATGCAGGCTCAGAGGCTAAACTCCAGCTTGTGTCCCTCGGAGAGTCAGTGAGCGCTTTGGGTAGGAGAGTGGGTCAAGACCCCAGTGACCCTGCCCTAGTTCCCCTCCCCAGGCTGGGCGAGAAACACGGGGGCTGAGTCAGGAAACATGGAGCCACCAACCCACTCTGTTTGGGTCCCGCCAAATTCGGCAAGAATTTCTAGGACACTGTAATTGGGACTGAGTTTGCAAAAAAATAAGTAAGGTGACTTTCTCTTTTGTGTGGGCCATTCTCTATCCAGTTTATACTTTCTACTGGCTCTGGGCCCATACTCCCCACAACTCAAGCCAAACTGGGGTACACTGGGCTCACAACCTGCATGTCTTTAGATCTATGTTCAGAAGGTCTCATTTTACATGTTAAGAAATGGTTCCAGAGAGGCTGTGATTCGGGGTCACTGCAAGCGGAAGGCCCAGGGGTGGCTGCAGGGCTCCCTGATTCCTCGTCCAAGCTCCTTAGCGGAAGCTTCCAGCAACTGGGAGGTGAGATGCTATACACCCTTGCTTTGAACTTGCCCTAAGGCCAAAGTTAGGCCGGCCAGCAGGTCACAGTGTGGGGACTGTCTTTGAGGATGCGATTTCCTATCCAATAAACAGCCCTATTCTACTGAAAGAAAACTTCCCAATGTCCAAGAAATCGCTCTGAACTTTATAGGGCGATAATGACGGGAAGTTTACAAAGACAACATGCGAGAGCCCACGTCACTTTTACTGCCCTGTTTTCCTTCGGCGGATTGATTCAAGTCCTCGTGGGGTCTTCGGCATGGACCCATGCTCCCGAGAAGGTCTCGAACACCCCCCGCCGCAGAGCCAAATCCCGTCCCACGTGGCTTCTTATGCTAGGAATATATGCAACATCAACAGTCACATCTGATTTCCTCTCCTCCACCTTGATTGAGGCGGGAGAGGATAAACAGGGAACGCTGTTGCGAATATCCATCCAAAATGGTAATTATTGCATCATTATATTCGCTACTTTACTTGTCATGTACCATTAGAAGGGTACCAAGATCACTGTCAGTCAAAGGCGGTGGAGATAATTAGAGCGTCTATAGGTTAGCAGGAAATCAAATTGGTGCTAGTCCCCATCAATGCCAGGATGCTGAACGTAATTAGAGGGAAAATATGCAAAGGTGGAGATGAAGAGAACCCCAGGGATTCGATACCATGACTGATTTGAGTTTGACTCTTCTACGTTCTGACTTTGCAGATGGGCCGGGCATGGTGCACATTGAGTGGGAGGCAGGGAAGCCTGCCAGGCTCACACATCAAGATGCCGCACAGTTTGGGGTGGTGGTGGGGCAGGATCCCAAGAACTGCCTGATTTGGGAAAACGGTGTTTGTCGTGTTTTCCAATCCACTCGTTTTTCTTCCAATTATGTTCTCCGGTCTGGGAGGCGGGTGTTAACGGGAGAGCAGAGCCGAGAGAAGTGGGTCTCTATGGCTCTGCCATCGGCTTTCCAGGCCTGCAAGCCCGGGTCCCTTGACCAGCACGGTCTCCCCGCGCCGCCCCCCTCCGCCATGTGGGAGAGTCCACGGTGCTCCCTGGCCACAAACGCCGAGCCCACATTGCCGGTCACTTCTGCGTCTAAGCCCCGGACGGCAGCTGTCTGCATCCCGCGAACCTGGGCTGCTTCCATGCCTTCCCCGAGAGAGAACAAACACCAATCCAAACAAGTCTCATCCAAACAGCAATTTCATGAGGTCAACACAAGAAAAATGAACAGTTTCTTACATCTTGAAAAAACAAAACAGATTTTAGAGGACGGGGCAGGGGGTGGGGTGGGCCCGTCTGCAAACCGAGGAGGGACAGGCCAGGTCATTCAACGAGACACAGAAAAAAGTAGAGACAGGAAGAAAATATCGGGAAGGTCTGGAAGTAACATACAACTGACCGAGTCCACAGACTGAAATGCCAAAGAACGAACAAGCAAAGACTGTCGTCAAAGGCCCCGAAATCAGATGTGTCATCAACGTGGATGAAGTGAATTGCTGAGCTCTGAGGCAGGCCCATCCCCCCCACCCCCCGTCGGCCCCCATCACCTGCAAGATCCACAATTCCCTTCCCGTGACTGAACAGTGTTTTGCTTATACCATCCCCAAAATAAAAAAATGAAAAGAACACAAGATCCACAACTGATGGTGCGGGGCACAAAGGTTTACAGAAACTAATCGGCGGGTCACTAACCGCGTTAGGTAGGGCGACCGGCCCACGCAGGTCAGCCTGGCGTCCTCGCTCGGGCTGGGTTCAAGACGTTTCTTTCCAAGAGCCTGGTCTTGCAAGTGTGGCTTCTTCCCTAAGGTAATGATGGCCATCTCACACACACAAGCAGCTGGAAGCTTGGTTCACATTTTTTAATAACATGGCACAGTTTACATTACACAAGAAGGCTCCACCGATGAGAACATGCTGAAGAGTCAGTCGGTTTTCACGTGTCTTTTCACATAGGGTCTAGAAAGGACTTTATTACATACAGGATAAACAGCAAAAAGGTCTGTATAGAACAATCTCTTTACAATACTGAAAACTACCACTACAGTTCCAGTGTTCATATCCCTCGGATTTTTTTTTTTCTTTTTAAGTTGCTGTCTTTAAAAAAAAAAAACAAAAAACCAAACAAAAAAACAAAACAAAACAAAAAAAAATAACCACTGCACAACATCCGGAGTTCACAAAATCTGAAGCTCACCACTAAACCTTCAGTTTACTACTAAAATAGATCTCTCTGCTTATTAGAAACAATGGTCTGTAGTTAACTTTTTTTTTCTTTTTTGCAAAAACAGGATAACAACATCAGATAGCACTTTAATATACTAGAAGACCCAATGGAACTAATTTTATTTCATACATATATTTTACAGTCCAGTAGACAAGATATAGTGTTATTTCTCTGCTAGTAAAGTCATATTCTCTCCAAATATGTAGACAAGAGGCTTAATGTATTATAAAAGTATTATGAAGACACATTAAGGTTGATGCGAACTTAAAAACCACACGCACACACAAGACTTTGTCTCCGCCACTGTTCGCCCTCCGGGACTCTCCATGGCGGCGCCCGATCGACCTGTTGTGGCTCTTCCCAGACTTTCTTACCAATGGGAGCCCAGCGAGCCACATGAGCAGATGCGCCACCTTCGATCCACCAGTTACTGAGGACAGTGAAAAACATATCCATCATCTGAGAAAACGTGAAGCTTTCTTTCAGGATTTGTTTGGGTGTAACCACCTCTCGTTACCAAACAAGGAGGGTGTGTACAGATAGGAACTAGGACACCCTAAAAAAAAAAGCATGGCTCCCACATGAGGTGTGTGTGAAATCACGTGACTGATGGTGACGAGATGCTTGGCGGCCTGTGTGTCCCCTGATTTTGGCATCTGACAACTCCCATCCTCCCCTGGCACTGGCTGTCCTGTCTCCCCACCCCCCTCCCCACTCCACCCCCCACCACCACGGCCCACAAGCGACAACTTCGGAAGCCAAGTTTTCAGCCTGGGGTCCGATTTGCAAAATAGGAGGTTCCTCCGTTTGAAAAAACAAGCAAGGAAAACAGAGTCATATCACGTAAGCGCTTGTTCAGGGAAAATATGACCTTAAGTATGTTGTAAATGGATTTGAAAAGGCTCCTTTGAGTCAGGAGGGCTTTCGAGAGAAGCCCTAACATTCATTGCATAGTTGAAGGGTTTAGCTGTCTAGAACGATATATGGGAACACAGCCGCAGCCGACCGCGCTCGCTCATATTAAGTTTGCAAATAGCACATTTTAAGAAGTATTAATGTATTATGTTACTTACTCTTTATCTATTTACATTTGTACAAAGTAAAGCTTTCATCTTACCCTTTGCATATATGAACCATTAGCTCACGAAGCAATGTTTTTTTTTTTTTTGTTTTGTTTTTTTACATAACTATGTACACGGCCTTCCCTTCCTTCCGAAGGAGCCCCACATGCTGCCTGGTGTGCACCTGCTGTTGCTCTCTCCCCAGTTACCGCCGCGTCGGTGTGTGTCTGTCATCTTCACTGTTTTGGTTCAAATCAAAAAAGTTTTATACGAGAAACCAAAGGAGTTGGGGACATGAGAACATAGGACTTGGCTAAAAGATCTGAAAAATTTCAACATATAATATACAAAAACCATTTCAAAATCTGCACTGAGTCTATACATTTTTTACAAGGGGAGGAGGCAGGGGCACGTGGCCCCCAGTCTGTGGTAGCGGTCCGTTCTCTCTCTCTCTCTCTCTCTCTCTCAAGTCTGCGTCATGTTGGTGTAGAGCTTCTCCTTCCTCTCTCGGGTCCCTCTCTCCTTACCGAGCTTCGATATCCTTCAGAGTGTGGGAAGGAGGCCTCTCCCTCATCTCTGCCGACAGAGGAGTAGTCCTTCGGGGCGAGACGGGGCGGCCCCCCAGCGTGGAGATGAGCGGCGGGGGCGCGCTCAGCGCAGCCGTCGGAGGGGTCTTGTTGAGCAGTCCGTTCTGGTGCCCCGCTGTGGGGCTGATCCGGGGGTAGTGCATGCTGGGGAGCCCTGGGGTGATGAGGCTGGGGTGCGGCAGGTGGCCGTCCAGGGAGGCGGGGTGCACCGAGTGGAGCCGCGTGTGCTCATAGTCTTCTCTGAGCATGTGCAAGCGCTCCCGCTCGTCCAGGTGCGCCCCGCGCTCGTGTTCCCGCCGAGGGTCCACGGACAGAGGGTGGTGGTGGTGGTGGTGGTGATGGTTGTAGTCGTGAGGCTCCCTGTCCCTGAAGGAGCGATCGGCTTCGTACAGCCGGGGAGTCGAGAGACGGTGGAGAGGGTCGTTCCTCAGCAGGAAGTCCCTGCCCAGCGGGTCTCTCCGGTGAATGTCAAGTTCTCGGTAGGGATCCCTCAAAGGGTCCCGTATGGGGTCCCAATGGAAAGAAGGGTACGGGAACCGCTCTCCGCCCGGGATGGGACTGATGCCCATGAAAGGAGTCATCATGCGAGTCCTGTCCAGGCTGCTGATGCTGTTCATGGGGTGAATGCCTGTCACCCCCACCGTCATGGGCATCGACGCCAGGGGCCCCGGGTGCACACTGGACGAGGAGTTTGGAGGAGGCGCCTCCGAAGACCGGTGGGTCTGCGGGGCCTCCGGAGGCAGGTCGTGGTCTTCTTTGCGTTCCTCCTTCACCTTGACCTCAGAGCCCTTCTTGGGGTTCTCGTAGGCCGGCTCGCTCTTGCGCGGCTCGGCCTCGCGGCTCGAGGTGCTGTTGGGCCTGGTGCTCTCCACGACGGGGGTCCGCACGTAGGGCGATGGCACCCGGGCCATCTGCTTGGCCTCTTCACCCACGGCTCTCCCCTCGTGGCCGTGGCCGTCCTTCTCGGGCAGGTGGCCCTCCTTCGCCTTGTGCTCGTCGGCGGTCAGGTCCTTGCGGGATTCCGAGTGGTCTCTCTCCCTCTCTTTGGATTTGTCTTTCTCACGAGCCTCAGTGTTCAAATGACCCCTGATCTGTTCAGTGGAGCTACGGTTATGTCCCAAGGTGCTCACCGGGAGGATAGGTGCTGGTGAAGGGTGGCTGGAGTGTCTTTTTTCAACGCTTTCCCTGAGGGGGAGAGAGAGAGAGAGAGAGAGAGAGGGAAACAGAGAAGCAAGTGAAATGGGGCTGCCGGCCTGGCGAGGGGCTGCCGATGAAATGGTGGTGTGAGAAGGACGGGCTCGGGTCTGGCTCCCGGGGTCACCGAGGCCGCTGGATGGGCCCTTTGTACAGCAGAGCCAGCCACCCTGAGCCTATTCACCTAGATTTTAGAGGAAGCTCTACAGGGGTGAAGTGCTAGGGGTGAGGGGAGCAGGAGGGCCTGAGGGGGAAATAATTCTCTCTGTATGTAAGATCCACATGCCTCCATCAAGACCACAGACGAAGAGCTTTCGGCACGTGGACGTGGACCAACGTGGCCAATAATAGTGATGCGGCGATAAGCCCGCCTGTCTAGAATCCTAGGATCATTTAGTGTTAAGAAGAAAGCTTGAGCAGCCTGAACACAAAGACGACCTTTCTTCCACCTTCGTGATAACCGAGACACGGGAAGGAAGGGTCTGACGTGAACGTGATGGTAGCTTCCAGCTCCGGACATCAGGACGGGTGACCTGTCTCAGAGTAAAGGATGCAGATTCAGAGCATCCTCCAAGATGCAGCACGTGAGGGGGCTCTGAAGGGAAACCACAAGTTCAGGGCTCGTGGGTGGCAAACAGGGCTTCCACCTCAGGAAGGACAAGAAGACCGCAATCTGAGAAGATGGAGGAAAGACAGTAGGAAAAGGGGGGCTCCCCAGGCCTCAGGGGACAAATGGAGAACAATTTTAAGAGAATCTGGGAAAGGAAATGTGGAAGAAGAATCTTAGGGACCTGTTTGGGACGGGGGCTGAAGAATCCGGGGCAGAAGATGCCGAGCACGGGACGACCACAAGGCAGACGGGAAGAGGGAAGACAGGACCGGGCACGTGGCAGGGGCCGCCCCAAGACAGATGGGGCCGAGGTGAGGAGCAAGGCACCTGGTTGGCTTGGCAGCTCGCAAGGTGAGGGTGGCCACGGCGAGAGAATCAAGGAGGGTTCTCCTACAAATTTGGTTTCTAGCCAACACGCAAGGCGAAGAAGAGGAGCATCTTCAAAAAGTAAGAATAAAAAAGAGTGGGTTTTATTAAGTTTCGGGACTTGAATGCAAAGGCCATTTTGACTCCATGAAGAAAGATGTGAAAAGGTTTGTGGCCACATCGTCTTCTCGTCAGTGACGGACTGCCCAAAGAAAGCTCCCGGTCCAGGCTAGGCCCACCTCACTGTGGTGGTTTACCGCGGAGAGCTGAACGCCATTAAGTGTCCTCCCACTGGCTAAGAGAGTTTTATTAACATACTGTCTTGAAGGACGAATGTGTCTTTTTCTTTTACAAGAGAGAAATCAGTTAGAATGATGACCTATGAGGAATACATACTAATCTGACACATTCAGAGTCTGCCAAGTTGAATTCTTTTAAATCACTAGCGTGCGTGCGCACGCACATCCCATACATAATAAGGAAAAATTAAAGATTTGGCTCATGTATGAGACCTAAGTACCCAAAGGAGAGTGTTATTAGGGATTTTCTGTCAAACGTATCTTGTGTTTCCTCTGCTTAGCAGTTTGTTCAAAAGGAAAATCGCCTACAGAAAGAAAACAGAAAGGGATACTTGCTTAAGAATGCCTATGACATTCTTCAGAGAAAATAAGACATTTTCCTCTTTAAGGCGATTCTTTTTATAGGCATGGGTTACCAAGTACAGAGCTAAAAAAATGGTTAGTCAAATTAATTTACCCACTGGCAAAACAAAACCCACACCAGAAATGCTTGCTGACGCTCTTCTGCATCTAGGTTAGCAAAATTTTATTTGTCATCTGTGAGCCCAGGATTGGAGTTTGAACAAAATTTGAGAAAAATATGATGAGACAATGTAAACGTGACTTTCTAAAAGCAAACAAAAAGAAAAAGAGAGAGCGAGAGAGACAGAGGGGGGAAAAAAAAAACCTATGGATGATTTAATGGACTGCACGAACTTGAAAGCAAATATGGTATTGATTCATGCTGTGTGTGTTTGGTCCAGAGCTCCACCTCGCTGTCTCGGAGAGAAAGATGTATACTGGCATACACTAATGCTCGCAGGGCCTGCCGAGGTTCTAAGGGCGGATGTGCGTCTGGTCGGGAAGTTCTCACTGCGCTGCAGTTATTACAGCCCTACAGTGGCGGTGCGCTAGGGGGCCGAGGGGGGTGCTCTCGGGGACTGCGGGGCCGGCCCGGGCCGAGCGAGAAGCTGAGGCCACAGGGCCAGCCGGAGCACAAGGCTGGGACGGGGAGGAGGGGACGGCTGTCCTGGGCACACAGCGGGCTCCCCCAGTGGGACTCGAGAACGGGTTCTTTCCGTACCTTTCTTTGTCATCTTTACTAACAGATGAGTCTCGTTTATCTACATCTCTATCTCTGTCATGAGCTGCAGCGGACGCGCTACGCTCCAGCTCCCCTGGCTTCAGCCAGGGCGGAGGGGTCGGGAACGACGGAGGCGTTCGGTGTAGCCGGTTCCAGGGTTCGTGAGGGTTGCTAAAGTTCTGCACACTGGGGCCATCCTTGTGGCCGAACATTGAGTTGGGTGCTGAAATGGTGAAGTGGAGAACAAAAAGGTTTAAGAGAAATTATATAATCTGCCGTAATGAAGGTACTTACCAAAAAACTTTTAACAGCACTCAGAGTTAAAATGAATACATATTATGGGGAGCTGGAAAAGGAAAGGAGATTAACAGATTCATTAGAGGAGTGCTCGTCCTACACTGGACAGGTAGCTCACAGCTTTTGTTCTTTAACCAAAGGCGACGGGGCGGGAGGGGAGGAGTCAAGAGGAAGGGGACCAGACAGGTGTCAAGAGCACCTGATCGAACACGTCTGGTGCATGCAGAAGCCCCCAGCATGCAGAAGGGGGTATTCTCGGGGGTAACTCGGATGAAGAGCACTCGTTGCGGAGGTGCATTCAAGCTCATCCTCGACCCACAGCCCCACTAACGGGACCGCCATTCTTCCCACAGCGTTAGTAGACGCAAACCGGTGTCGTCAAGCCCGGACGTGGCCTTGACCTAAGCAGACAGGTAAGGTCTCCGCACAGGACGGGACTGGGAGGGCGCACTTAGGGCTGCATTTTAGGCCTCCAGTGCCTGGAGACCATGATATATGGACGGCATGAGAGAAAATGGGTTGAACAGTGGCTCAAAAATGAGCAGGTGTTACACCTCTTTTTCCCACTTGAGATACTTTTTAGTAGAAAATGACACGTTCCTTCCAGATTATGGAGTATGAAACGCTGCCCACTCTTGGCTAGCTTCAGGCCGGTACTGTTTTCCTGCTATTTTTGGTTGCGTTTTCTCAGGGCCACTAGTGCCAAAGGTGAGGTGAATGTAACAGCAGTTTCCCCTTCCACTGGGAGCTGTGACTAAAGTCCTGGACGGTAGGGATGGAATATGGAGGAGACTGAGCTTAAGCGACCTCACGGAGTTCCACCAGTGACATCACCTCTCCTGACGCTCAGTAACACACAGCAAGAGCGGGCTTCCCTTGAAACACTGCCTTCCATGTCAATGCACCCTTCCCCCTGACTTCACTGCCGAGGCCTGCTTCTCCGGATATAACCTAATCTGTTTCCCACGAGGACAGTTTCCTTTTAGCTAGAAAGGTCTTGAGCCATAGACAGATCAGAGGAGACACATAGTCCGAGGCAGATTTTTAAAAAAGTTAAGAGGTACTCACTAACTGAAGGATTTCCGAGTCCCCCGAAGGCATTGCCACCAACAGCTGTGAGGCCAGTGAACGTAGACGGACGGTTAAAAGGCTCTGCGAACAGATCGGGAAGAAGGAAACGGTTGCAGGACTGGGATGAGTGAGGAGCCTAAGAGCTTCCTGGGAGCGGGAAGGCGATGTGGGAGCCCCGCCCTCTCTACACTTGGACCCGAAGCGACCCTGATCGTGCAGAAGGACTCACTGCGCCTGGGTCTGGGCACTGGATTGGCAAAATATTTACAGGAGCTGTTGTTCCAGAACTGTGCATCCTGCCCCACTCCCCTTGTGCTGGGGTGGGGAGCATCGCTCAAGCCTTCCCGTCCTGCCCTCCCTCTTCGGGGAAAGTACCCTGTAGGCTCTATGAGAACAAACTGGAGGACATCCTCAACTAAGTCTCCCAGTGATGAAACTGTGAGGGCGCATCTGTGAAGACACCCCAGGGTCACATGTACCGTTGCCCACCCCTGCCTGTACAGTCGCAGAAAATAGCCAAAGAACAGAGGCCACAAACAAAGCGCGTATCCTTGCTAGGAAAAGAGATTCACAGTGAACTGTGAGGGGATTACGAAGCCGCATTTAACGCCTCCTTGTAATGTCATCTTGCCTTACCTCCCACCTCCCAGAGGTGGACAGGGGGTGAGAGTTCACCATCTTGCCCCAGTGGGCAGGCACAGGGTGCTGTACATGCGGGTCCCCGGAGGCACCGGGGCAGGGCTCCTTCCCACTGTGCCATCAGTCACGTCAGATGGGATCACGACTGAGCACACGTCCACTACTTTAAGACTGTCGTATAAGAGGTGCCAAAATCCCGAGGATGGATGGCAGGCGTCCCAACTCTCCTCCACAAACACCATTATCACCCTAAGTAATCACTGCGGTGTCTAAGGCGACGGCCAACTGGCCAGGAAGTGCGGCAAACCAAGGTTTTTCTGAGACACACATGTCAGTTCCCATCACCGATGGCAACTCACCCAGGTGAGCGGCAGGGTTAAGGAAGTTGCTGTGATGGGGGGGTGGCCCAAAAGGGGTCCCGGTTGGGTGTGCAGCACCTAGAAAGTCAAACATGACAGAATCAGACTTCCCAGAAAGCCAGCTCCTACCACGCATTTGGCTCCTAGCTACCCGAGGGCCCCATAAGAAAATAGGAGCGAATACGTTAAAATAAGGACATGGCTGAAGTCCACCCAGGCAACACGCTGGGAGACGACATGTTTTCTGTTAGGTAGCAGAAAAGAAGGGATGCCCTTCTTCCAACTGGGGCTGGCCACCACCCAAAAGAAGTTATTCCTTTGAAAAGACATGGACCCACAGTACTCGAGGCATGGAGGAATATCGCAAGGGGGGTGGGCGGGGTCGGGGGTGATTCTGTAACCAAATAAGTTGGGAGGATCAAACACCAAGGCACAAAGTGTCAAGTGGGGTTCCTCACTTCCTGGAGCTCTTTGTACGATCCCAGGCTCACTCGTTCTCTGAAAGGGGGACATTTGGCCACGGGATACTTTCTTCACAGAGCGTAATGGGGGGGCAAGTCTTTCACTTTGAGAAACACTGATCTGGAAACTACATTTTATAATCCTTGGCTCAGGAATGGCTGTCCCACAGCGGTGCATCTGGGTGGCCCGGCTCTGGGCCCTGCGGAGCCCCTTCCCCGAGGAGTGTGTTGGTTGTCGTGGGCCCGTCTGGAAGGCCTGGCCCTGCAAAACCCGGGACCATGCACCGCATCAGGTTATGGGCGATCGAGTCCTCCAAGCAGCTCTCCAGCCTTCCGTGCCAGGACAAGCCACTTGATTCCTACATTTGTGGACACCGACAATCTGCTAACGGACTCTATCTGCCCGAAGGGGACCTCAGTTCAAGGTCAGTGGTCTTCTTTCCTTTGGTTTCCCCGTCATCCACATCTCCACCACTGTTTCATATTCTGCCTTAAACAACATGTATTTCTTTAAGGAGCCACATCATCCTTGTCCTGGAGGAAGGTGGGAAAGGAGAGAGGGAGAGAAGGAGAGAGACAGGGTACGCGCCTGGGAAGCAGGACGATATTCGTTTAAGAGCCGAGGGCATCCGGTCAGCTTGTTACGGTGCAGCCGAGCGTGGGGGAGACGTGCTGTTGGGGTGGCAGGCTCGGCTCTGGAGACCAGACTGGCCAGGCTCACCTGACATAATCTCTCTTGAACTGATGTCAGGCATGAATTCCCAACAGGAAGCTTAAGAGTGGCTGTACTGAACACATGTGTGTGAATTATACACACCGGTTCAAAGTTTCACCGAATTACCATGGGGGCAAAATCCAATAGTGCTCAGACTAAAAAAGATGACCTTCCGGAATGGATGTATACACAGGGCCTCAATGAACTGACTGATAGCTACTAATAACTACCAACGAACTGGTCCTCTTGCATTTTGGCTAAGCTCCTATAAACAAGTATAAATTCCCTCAGGAAAGCAGATTAAATGGAGGAGTGTGGTTCCCTCCCCCACACACCCTACGAACTCAATTTATGTTCTGGATTGCTGTTCCCTGCACCCCAAGGCCTCTGTGGGGCCTCGGGTGCGGAGGAATCCGCAGAGCCCCGGAAGGTATCTGTCACAGCTGCGGACTCTTAGAATCGGAAGGCACCCGAGGAGAGGAGTTTTCTGTTCGGCCCAAGACGGTGGCTTCGCCCAGGCGGTGCCGAAAGCTACTCCATCTCCACCCAGAGAACACAGCCCAGCATATTCATTAGGTGGTAACAGCGCTACCAGCTAAATAAAAATCTGGCTGCACACTTTCTGTGTAGTACAAGCTAATTAATGCCTCGATGAAGAGCGGAGCTTTGCTCAGCCCCGCGCCCCCAGGGGTGCCTTGCAGTTCCAGAAATTATTGAAGCAAAAGAAGCCAATTCATCCGCTTGGCTCAAACGGAAGCCAGGGAGAAATCTCTCTATTTCCCTCCAAATATTGCTCTTCACGTAGCTCCGTCTCAGAGCCTAGGTGCCATGGTAACAAAGCTTTCAAATATGTCCCTAGACAGAACTGACAGAGAAAAACCTGAGACCTTAGCAAATTCCATCCACCCTCAAGGGTGATTCACTTGCTTTGGCAACAAGGCCCATTATAATGATGATTTCTTGCAATGGGGGAGTCTCCCTCTTTCTGAATGGAAGAGCCTTAGGTCAACCAAGAATGAGTCCTGAGTAAAAGCCTGGGAAGGCAGCAGGCAGGATGGATGTGAAACTTGTTCCCTAAGGACCAGAAACAGGGAGCCCCGTGCATTTTTATGTCCAGAAGAATAAATTCTACTTAGCATGGTGGGTATGCAGTTACGAAGCTTACGAGCTCAGTGTCGCCATTCACAAGTATTAACGAGCGCAGCTCTGTGCGGCCAAGGAGCTTCAGGACTGAATGATAGGGAACCTGGGATACCAAGAGGAGAGCTCTCGCTTCCTGAGAGTCCTTATGGCCACTGTCCCTTGTGTGTATGTACCTGGAGTGGAAAGGGGTGACCCCCAGTCCCCACCGCCCCCGCTTTGGCATACCTATGAGGCGTTCGGGAGGTTAACGAGCAGACCACATAGGAATCTATACCCTGTCCTGCAAATTTTCTGCATCACTACAACCAGCCAGGCAACAGCCTTATGTTCCGTAGCCAAGAACACCAGTCACCCACGGGCTGACCCTCCCCATCACAGACCACACCACCAGCAGCCCTCTTGATTCTGATTTCTTCATCCTCAGGCTCTTGGGAAAAACAGCATGACCGAGCATCATGGTGCAGAGTGACTGAGTGCTCTGTGGGCACCAACCGCAAGGACAACCACATCCTTATACAATCCCTGGCACTGTCTGCTATCGATGTGCCCTTGTAAGCTTTCTGATCTTTTTCAATAGCGTTTGACATCCTTGTGAGTCATACTGGTTTAATATAGAAGCAAATAATGAGCCGAAGCAATATGAGTCCCCGAAGAGAGAGAGGATCTTTTTTCTTTCTTTAATGAAAGAGGGCATATCAGTGAAGAAGGGTCCATCTCCCTGGATGTACTGATGTTGCCTTGCAAGCTGGCATAAACTGCATTTTTGTTTTTGTTTTTAAGGGAGGGATCGAGCGGCGGGCCCCGAGCACAAACATCATTTATTTAGCTACCTGCGAACTCAATTTCTCAGCTCTTTCCTGGCGCTCTGAACTCACCAGCAGCAGAGAACAAAGTTGAAGGCCGGGCCAGGTCATGGGGGTGGTGGATGGCTCCAAAGAGGCTGGGGCCTGGGGGGCGGCTCAGGAACTCGGGTTTCAATCCGAAGTCCAGCTTATGTGGGTCTGACTGCATCTGTTTCTAAAGCAGCAAGGGGAAAAAGAAAAGATGAAACCCCAAGATCAACATCAGGAAAGAAAGCTATCGATGAAGAGGCAGAGACTGCTCGCTGGAGGAGACGGTGAATGGTGCTCTCAGGCTCCGCGCTGGAGTCAGGTTCAAGTTTACAGGTGCTGTGAGAAGAGCAATCAACACAGTATCTCACCCTCACACGCCAGAAAAGCAGGTCAACCCACGAGGGGCCGGTGGTGCCTGCCACTGGACAGTACCGGCGTCTTTGAGGTTGTATGGCTCGAGGAATAAAACCACATCCGATTTATTCAAACCACCACCGCTCCGAAGTAGTTTATTATTTGCTGTAAAGGCCCATTTTGGCAAGTTTTTAAATGATAGTATTTTAAAGCTCATTTTATTAGGAATTCTGCATGAATAATCTGCTGTGTAAATTAATTGTTAATGACTCTTTGCCATATTCTAGTAGATCACAGTACATTAGTAACTGGAAGTGATGAAGAAATATTTGCATGCCTACAAGCTAATGTTCAAATGATCATTGTTACATCTTAAAAAAAAAAAAAGGAATGCCAAAAACAAACAGAAACAAAGTAGGGATATTCATGTAATGCACTGGGGGTCTTTTCCCTGCCTCTGCCCCATGACTGCCCAAGGAACAGATCATCGGCCCGGCCCAGTGAGCCAAGGAGAACTTCTCTTGTTTTGAATGCTTGGCGTCAGCGGCCATCGCTCTATTTTCGTCCATATATATATATGTGTGTGTGTGTGTGTGTGTGTGTGTGTGTCCCCCCTCAAGCTACTCTCCGTTCACCTTCCCCGAAGACTATAGAGACTAGCTCGTAATTTCCTCCCTTCCTTACCCTGGTGTCATTCTTGAGGCCAGCAGCCCTCTCGAACATGGATGCCCCACGTTAACTCTCAGCCACCTTCTCTCTGAATCTCACGCCTCCCCAGACTAGCTTCCCTCCCCCTTGCCACCACCTCTCCGCCTACCGGGCTCCCATCCTTCACGGCCCTTCACCTGTTTCTGACTCACCCCTCCAGTCTCTTAGCTTTGACTGATGTTTATAGTCCCTTTGGGCCCGCGCCACCTCAAACTCCCTCACATCTGCCCTAAACACATCCCTGTCCCACTCTGTACAAGGAAGTCAGTAAGGAGACAATCTGAGCTAGCCTGTGTGAGCGTCAGAGACAAGAGAAGTCTGCCATGCCCTCATTGCTGAAGGCCGCCATCCTGCTCATCCAACCATACCCATTCAAACAAGACCAGCCTGATCACTCCAAGCTGGAAGCGATACCCCTTGGAAGCAGACAGCATGTTCACAGTTTTTTATGCGCATACGGATATGCTCACTACTGAATGCTAAGTAACTAGATGCCAGGACAGATGAGTGTCCTCTGAGCCTGGTACGGTAAGTAATCTGCAGGCGTTAGGCTCCTTCAAGAAATACTTGGGGGGAGGGGCACTAAAAGAATGAGGAAATGAACATTACAGAGAAAGGGGACAATGCAATTTCTGCTCAAATCCACAGGGAAGACGCTCGTCCAAGCTCCACTATAAAGTAATAGCCAAACCCCAAACCACAGCTTCTAATTCACTATAAATCTATAAAAATCTTTTGAGTGCCTCCTTCAATTTGGTTGCCAAATTATTTAGCACTAATACTGCACGGTACATAGCACAGTTCCATTAACCACAACTTAGGTCCATGAAGCAAAATGGAGCTTGGGGATTACAAAGAGTTTGCTGGGAAGGGAGGATGAGCAGCATGCAAGAGGTCTTCCTAATTGAATTGAGATAATGAAACTTTTAGTCACCGGGGACACCTTCATGGAAAAGAAGTTGCTAAAGTGGCACATACAACATCCTTCACCGCTTTTAAGCAAAGGAACTACAAGGAGGACGTGTCTTACCTACCGTTCCGCCAACCACATCATCCAGAACAAAAAGTGAATTGAACTTAAGCATCAAAATCTAGTTAGCCCTCTGAGCACACATATTTGCTCACGAAGCTAAACCATAAGGTTTCTAATTAAACCTCGCCTAACAATAAAGTAAAAGTGAACAAAACTCACTGATGGGATGTTGGGAGAAAGAGCAGGTACTTGGCACCAAAGCAAAATATCTTAGTGACCTCATTTACTGAGGGTGGCTTTTTAAGTTTTCACTAGGTTGGTTTTTAATTATTTTCTTAAGATTTTATTTATTTAGTTGAGAGAGAGAGAGAGAGAGAGAGAGAGAGAGAGAGAGAGTGCAGGAGCATGAGTGGGGGGCGGGGCAGAGGGAGAGGGAGCGGGACATAGGGCTTGATCCCAGGACACTGGGATCATGACTTGAGCTGAAGGCAGACACTTAACAGACTGAGCCACCCAGGAGCCCCTTACTAGGTTTTTTGTTTGTTTGTTTTTTTAAATTATGTAAGCCCCTTACTAGGTTTTTTGTGTTTGTTTTTTTAAATTATGTAAATTATGTTTTTATAAATTATGTAATTATTAAAAAACAAAACATTTCTAGGATGACCAGCTCTCATTTATTGGCTTCTTTTCTTAAGCTCATGATGGCTCCCAAATGCTGTTAGCACTAAATGCTTGTTTGTGAAAAAAAATGGATGAACTTACTGGAATTACTTGATTGGTTGTTTTCTCCTGTTTTTCTTGGCACGGTTACCCAGACGGTAAATGCCCAGATGGTAAAATCTGGACTGACCAAAGTCAGTTACTTTGGTCCCTAAGTCAACCAGTGATGCCTTATCTGGTCACCTACAGAAGGCTCTTGACCCTGCTGTGTCACAAATGCCTGGTAAAGCACGGACCGTATTCATCTGTATGATGAAAATACAGACAGAAGTTTAAGCAAAATAATCTGCGGACAGATAGGGTAACGGGTCAGAGTGGTTCTGGCAGGTACTGAGTGAACTCTAAGCTCTGTCACTGGTCATCGAGATGACTAGTGCCAAGTATATTGAAAGGTGACTATGACATTACTTCTAGAAGAGATTTCTTCATAATATGCATTGCTGATGGAAGTTCAGTAACATCACATAGGGTAAGCTTTTCAAAGTCATACAGTGAAAAGAATGTACGAATTCTTACAGAAATGACAACTTTCATGTATAGTTCTTCCCAGATACTACGCATTTTCCATATAAACACTTGGTTGCTATAATTAGATTCTCAAACCCGCCCCCCCCACCAGGATTTAACCTATGTTTAAGCTCTGTAGATCACTACAATAACAAAATCGTCTAAAAAGATAAAACATCAGGGAGTTAACAGTTTATTTCTGTTTTGTAATTTTGTGGGTGGTTTCCCTAATTAATAGTACGGTTTCCCAATAGTGTTTCCAAGAGAGACTGGATTCTTCCTGCCAGAGGGTCTTTAGAAGCTGTTTGAATGCCTCCTCTGTCAGGGGATCACAGACCCGCAGGCCCTGTCTCCCCCTCCCGCCGCCGGACAAGGACCGCCAGACTGACCTTGACTTTCTGTTGGTGGTGGTAGATCTGCCAGGCGATGTGAACATGCATAGCACACCACTTCCCTGGTTTCTGGAACAAGAAAGAGCACCGCGGTCAGAAGGAAGACCTTGCACAGAAAACCATCTCCAACTTCTCCGAAGCTTTTCAGCAACTTTGGGCGGCAGAGGCTCTTTTTCACGGAACACGAGTGCTCAGTGCCCCCCAAGCCGGCTCCACCCTTCCTCCACGGAGCCCGAGCCGGTGGTCACTGCTCCCCAAACCCTACTTGACGGGGACCTCCCCGATTACCAGGGACAAGATGGCAAAAGCCTGAGCCCCACTCTGTCTGTCTTTTCTGGTGGCAGCTGGCAGGCCTGGGAGAGTGGGAGGCCCTACTCAACTCAGGCGGCCGCGCTAGGATGCAAATCGGCTGCTCAGAAGAGCTAATTAGTGAGTGGCTGTGAACCGGTTCAAAACAAGAGAGGCTACAGAAGACCCTGTGTAACCTCCCCCCAACGCTGTTTCGTCCTCACCCCCAGAGCGGAACAAAGAAATTCACATTTTTACTGGAGCCCAGTTCCCGCAAGAGCTCTGCTAAGAGTCAATGACCCATTCGTGTTGGTGGGCGCCGTTCGTTCCCAAGCAAAGAAAGAACAAAGGAGAGCGCTCATTCCTGCCCACGTTCCGGGCCTCTGCAATCATCACGTCTGCGAGTGGATCAACCCGTGTCTCTCGTGGTCCGGGCACGTCTTGCTTTTGGGGCAGAGGAGTAACTGAGTGTGCCATCTCACCACCCGGAGTGGGGGGACCCCCTCTTCCCAGTCCATTTGTATTCTTGCTGCGTAATCGACTCATCCGCTCCAAACGTGTGCTCGGTAACTACAGGATGCGTGAGAAGAAACACTGCCCCAGTCCTACATCGGCAAAGGGCAGACGCTTCTGGTTTCTATGTTAAGGAGCTCTTTGTGAAACACACACTTAAGTCCAAGTCTGGGTCAGTTCTCTCGTAATGAAATTATGGGTCATCTGAAATCACCTACGTGATGACACAGTCCTCCTTTGATTCTCTTTGGAGAAATGGCATGATCTGATTATATGTGCCAGACACGGGGTAAGGATAGCAGGAAATCTCTCCATCCATCTTCCAGCCGACGGTCCATCTCCCCCCGCCGCCCCACCAAGTAAGTCAGGCATCTCTTGGCCACTCTCCAGACCACTCAAGACGTTAACAAACTAAGGCCTAGAGTAGCTACTTCTGCACCAGGGGAACAGGTCGGATGGCTGTGAAGGTCAACACTACTTACTGCAGGATGAGGCAGCCACCAGCCAAGATAAACAGACATATAAATATACATATACACACGTATATGCACATATATATATCTGCTAGGTGCAGAAGAGACAGGAAAATTCAGTGAAATCCCAATTTCTGCCCATAGCTTCAGTCCTCCTCTATATAGCCCCCTACTTGTCAAGCCTTTTAGCAACCCTGTGGACAAGAAACTCTGGCTCATATGAATGTTTTATCTGTTTGCTTTCCCTCAGTGGCCTGGCTTCCTCCAACACTCCAAGCAACACAAATTCGGCCATTTTCAATCACACCACCTGAAAAACCCAGCCACTGCCATCCCAACGTTTTATTCCAGCGTTTCTATGGCTTGTTTCCTTGTAATGGATTTGTATTTTTAACCCGCAGGGAGTCAAACAGAGGTTGCAAAACAGTTCTAGAAGGAGCTTTCTTACCCTTAACATAGGTCTGAAAGGATCTGTCAACTGTGAAGAGAAAATGACAACTTGGTTACATGCCTGTCACTCAAACAATTGCTCTAATTAACAAATTTGTAGTGCTTCATTAGGAGGGGAAATTAAAATGTTAGAATTTTACTTTTAAATGAAGCCCTTTTAGAGAATAATTAACCCATTTTCACACTATCAAAAGTGCCAAGCGTCCCCTCCCCCACTTCACAAGCCTGGGTACATCCACACTGACAAGCCCCCGACCAAGTTTAATCAATAGCAATTTGCCCTCTGGCAACATGATTTGCTCACATTACACATCTGAGGAGCTCCACTATCTGGAGCGGCCCTTCCCAACCCCACCGCAGGGGTTCTAGGGCAGAACGGCCTCCAGACCGTAGACCTGTAAGGCTGGGTTCTACCAGGGACCCGGGGAGAACTAGGCTGTCTTTGCCAACACACTTAAATTTGATGACCGCCCATTACTCACAGGTTATGAGATTTTTTTTAGATGGTCACTAACCATCAGACAAATACCTACATAACTGAGTCATTTTAAACTTCTACCTAACTCTGGTCCTCAATTTCTGACTGCCCCTACCCAGGGAAAAAGAAAATACTGTCAAAAGTAATCATTTGTCCACATTTACTACAAAGGCGAATGTAAGTAACAATCCACCGGACAAGACTATCTGTTATATTGTAGAACTTCCAATTCTTTTCCGAAGTCGGTAGAGGTGTGCATTATGAACGGATGAGAGAAGCAAAGCGTAAGGGATACTCTGCTTAGATCACAGGAGGATGCTTCCCGCATTGAAAGTAGAGGGCCAGGAGCGCTGTGTGGTGACTTCCTGACCCGAGGAGCAGGGAGAGGGTCCTGTGACTTCCAGGAAGAAAAGCGCTTACAGCTTCTTCTTCTGGGCAACAGAAATTGAGGAGACATCGACAGACAAGACTGGTCGAACAGAAGCTACACCAGCTAAGAGTAAGAGTGTTCACTTCCTGTGCTTGGACCACAGGACATTTGTCTTCTCTCCCACTGGCGAGTCACTCCCCTTGTGTCATTTAGCCACAGTGGAGCAGGGGAGATTTTTGTTTTCTAAGCATGACTGGCATTTTCTTCCACGAACTAGAAGGGACAGCTAAAATAGCAGCGGAGCTGAAGCAGGAGCGCGCCCCGGGCTGGCTGTCCCTCGGAAACAAACATGCCCTTGGTGTTACCTGCATCCGAGCCTGACTTTCTACGTACCCTCGGGTCCTTTTGGAGCAGAGTGTGTGGGACTGTCCCGGGTCGAGCAGCAACATCGATTGGGTTGGATGTCTACAAATTAATCAGACCACAGCTTAGGAGGCATGGAACTCATGACCCGAAAAGCAAGATCTTTCTTTCGTTCTAAATTACAGAAGTCAAACGTTGATTCTGTTTGTTTGTTTGATTCTGGAATACAAGAGTTGACAGGTGCATACTCCCCAGTGATCACACATGCTCTTCAGGAGGCCCGGTTCCCTCTGTTCTTGATGGACCCTGACCAGAGTCCACCCTGTCTAGGAAAGGCATCAAAAAGCAGAGAGGTGGACCATGCCACATTTGACTGTAATAGAGAGCAAAGGACCGAAAAAAAAAGGGGGGGGGAAAGAACACACGAAAGCACTGCCCCCAAATCCCTGTCTCCCTCCGAGTTACGGATGGCCCTGTCATGGCGTTTTTGCTTCATCACCGAGCATTCTGAGAGATGCTTGAGTGAACATCACGGCAATGTGCTGTATCAGGTGCTTCTCATCAGAATAACTGAAAGTGTTTTGCAGACATTAAGCGAACTCTGAATTTTAACTGGCAGACAATAACAGGGAATTACGCTCAGTAATTACTCATTAGCAGTGGTGGAAATGGGACAAGAGGACCTAATTTAGGGGCCGCACAGACCTACTATTAAATGATTTCTACAGGGATGCTGCTTCATCTGTCCTATGCCGCCACCATTCTTAAATGTCATTCATAACAGTAACCTTATCTACGGGCTGTTGTCCTTTGAACTGATGGCAACAACAGAAAGCCTACTTCCGGCGCACGCAGTCCTTACTTTCTAGTGGATGAAAGGATTCGGAACGTTTTTCACCTGGTATTTTATTTAAGAAATCACAACTTCTGTGACTCCCCTCACCCCAGCAAGTGAACGCATGTGGGAAAAGAGCTCAAGTTTAGGCACAAAGCTTGCCTCTAAGGAGGAGGGAAAAAAAAAAAAAGAAAAAAAGAATGGAAGAAAGAAAAGCAATCAGCCGCTGTCCAACTAACAACTAACAATTAAGCTGGAGTTGTTAACAGCCTGATTTGCATACATATGAAGAACTCCGCTAATGAACTGCAATCTACATATTCAATCAGTAAGATGGCCTGGAAAGGCCTATTTCAACACCAAGAGAGACACTTTCTTGCCCAGATGTAGATTTCTGTGTGATTGGATAATTGTGAGTGAGGGAAATAGTCTAATTTATTAAATGACCTAGCTGTCTGTTTGGGGAGGCACCAGAGATTTGGTGCAACCCAGAGGGGGCAGACCAGGGTGGGAGGGAGGAGTGAATAGAAGCAGACCGGGGGAAGGGGTTGAAAAATCACCACTGGTTCATCCGAGATAGGAGGGGTTGCCCATGGCCATCATTAAAGCCCCGGGTAGAGATAACCTGGCCTATAAACTATAGTTCTGAGCAGGTAAATGTCATTTCTAAGGTGTAGCTGGTCCCACCCCCAAGGCTTTTAAATTTCTTTTCCAATGTCTAGCTTTGAGGCAACGTGCCTTTGGAAATGCAAAATGCACTCATTCTGGGTGACTCTGGCCCCAAGCTGGTGTTTTTTCTCTTAGAAATGAGTGGGGGGGGGGGGGAAAGCAAAGAAAACCCAAATCACATAGAGCAAAATTTCCTACTTTAAAAATCTGAGAATGGTTAGTAACATAACTACATTTTGCTTTTGTATAAAAATAAAGTAAGGGCTGGGCGCCTGGGTGGCTCAGTCGGTTAAGCGTCTGCCTTCGGCTCAGGTCATGATCCCAGGGTCCTGGGATCGGGCTCCCTGCTCCGCGGGGAGCCTGCTTCTCCCTCTCCCACTCCCCCTGCTTGTGTTCCCTCTCTCACTGTGTGTCTCTCTCTGTCAAATAAATAAATAAAATCTTAAAAAAATAATAAAGTAAGGGCTATAACAAAGTCACATAAAGGGAGGGTATTCAGAGAATCACTCCTCAATACTGACCTTTGGAGACAACTCTAGCCCAAGCCGAGTAGAACACTGACTAGGTAGAAAAGGACTTACTTACTGTGAAGGGCAAGAGGTTAATTTCACATTAGGCTGTAAGTCTTGACCTTAAGTGTGACCGTGGCTGAGGGAGGACTGAGGGAGGGCAGAGGCGGAACAGGGGTACATGAAAGGGTGGGTGGCTGCCCTCCACCTGCAGGCAGACCCCCTATTTGCAGACACACAAGGCTAAGGAGCAGAATGGGGGAGATGAGCAGAAGCAGCTTCCTTCACACAACCGGAAGGATGACATTTTAGTTAGTTTTAGCAAGGTTCTATTCCTTGCTATTCAAATCAATAAAGGCTCAGCTATGCCTCTTTGCTAATAACATATACCGCAAGGACAAGTTGGTGCACACGAATCTGACATTTCATACATCTCCTGGCCAGAAGCTTCTGTCCCCAGTACTGGTGGAAAAAAAAATACATATACGTCTTCTGTATGTCTTAAAGATTACAGGAAATCCTAGCTCAACTGAGATTATATAGGTAGTACAGAATGAAAATTAAATTCGGGCTGAGGTTTAAAACTCAAGGGGCTAGCAAAAAAAAAAAATACTCTCTCTCTAATCCCGATGGTCACTTTGGATTAGAAAAATTAGCCACTGGCAGGTGAGAGGCTGTAGAACCCACCCGCCCGCCTCGACTGAGGCTCTGCTTGTAAAGATGCTTGTGTGTTTTCATGGTCAGGTTGCTTACCTTCGGCTGAAATGCTCCTTGTAGTGAACCAAAAGGGCCAGTGGGTGGAATCATAGGGGGGATGCCCGATACTGCAGGAGGGTAGGAATGGAAGAGCTGTGACCAAAGACGGGGAGGGGACAAAAAGATTTTAGTAGGAGGCAAACGATATATTCCAATTCCCTTCCCATCGAATGACATCCACATTAGCAAGCCAGGTAACACCAGTTTGATGCTATTAGTCAAGAAGCCATGATGAAATGATCACACAGATATGCCATGAATGCTTAACTTAAAAAGTTAAAAGTAGTTCAGAATCAATCAGCCGACAAATGATGTCCCAAATGAGGACATCATTAGAAAGGGAGCTTTTCTAATTATTAATTGTTAGATCAGATAGAAGACCTAAATGGCTTGAGATTTTAATGCGCATCAAAAACAGGGAAGGGATGCTGAGCCAAATAAGATGCCTGGAAAATTACAAGTTAATTAGAAAAGGAAAAAAAGAAAAATTAAGAAAAATTAAGAAAAAAGGAAGAAAAAGAAGCAAGTCTTTATGAGTTCCAGGATTTTATACCATTAAAACTCAATTAGTACTTTTAGATTTTTAATAGTTTGAGGAAATGAGAAAATATTCACAATCCTTGCTTCATTAGGTTGTTGCAGAAGTGGTGGTTTCAGAGGACAATTTAATTGTCTCGTCTCAAATGATGACAAATACGTGTGGCAGGGTAAGATAAAATGACTCTGTGTACACTCACAATGAAGCTGTTTTTTTCTGGAAGATGGACAAGCTAAGCTCACTGGGGGCTGCTCAAGCCGAGCCCTTGACAGGTCTGACCACTCAGTGAAGGGGGAAGAATGATTCTGAATTAAGAATATGAATTTTCTGGAATTAACCAGTTTACAGGGGACACGATGGAGGAAAGAAATATACAGCCATACTGAAGACAAGGTAAACACAGTTCTTCCTCCTCCTAAAACTCGAATATTTCTGAGATCCCACTGCTCTGGTTCCACTCTCTTTGATCAAACCACCATGCGGACACTAAGTCACCCCCCCTTTATGGTTGCATATGTCGAAAATACAATAATCACTCAAGCTTTTCCGCCTAATGACTTTACGTTACCTATTTCTAGGTAAGGGCTGAAATGCCCATTTCATAATCCTGTTTTCAGAGCACTGTTTCTGTTGGTCTTTATTTCATTTTGCTCCCTTCAATGATGCAGCAAAGTTTTTCAGACTAATTGATATTGAACTAAATCCACTTAAACAGTGATTGCAAGCCAAGTGCCCTCATTTAAAACTACTTTTAAGTCTAAAATTGTGTTTTAGATACTTGAGTGCACTGCATCTTAATTCCCCTTATAACATCCTAATCCCCAAAGCGGGAGAGACTAAGTACTTCATATATTATCCACTATAACTAATAAAACGAAATAACTTTCCCACAGTACACTGTATGAAGCAGAGTAATTAAATACATGCCACACTAAAACACACTCAAATTTCTATTACTCTGCCTCCAGGTGGGGAATATTTCCTTTAATGTTTTCAATAAAAAGTTAGGTATTTTCACCATTTTCCTTTTGCTGTAGTCCATTACTGACCCTCTTAGAATACAGCTGATTATCCCCCCCCCAACCGACTTGATGAAAAATCTTTAGTACCTAAGTAATAAAACATAAACCTGGCAAAAACTCAGGCCTCTTGGCTTATTCTCCATCTTAAATCTAGGACCCTCTGTGGAATAAGCTTATAAAAAAGCACTACGCACTTTGTCCTAGGGAGTAAATATGAGCCACCTGTTGAGCATCCTGAACTTTCTCTAGGAATGACTTTGTTAGCTGGTGCTTAATTTAAATCAGCAAATACTGATGAAGGGCAGAAATCTGATAATCATCAAGGATGGCACCATTCACGGGACATCCCTAAAGAGGAGACCCGCGGGTTTACTGGATTTTGCATGTCCACTTAAAAAATGCTTTTGTGGGGTGCCTGGGTGGCTCAGTAGGTTGAGCGTCTGACTCTTGGTTTCAGCTCAGGTCATGATCTTGGGGTCCTGGGATCGAACCCTGTGCAGGGCTCTGTGCTCAGCAGGGAGTCTGCTTGTCTCCCTCTGCCTCTACGCGCCCCCCCCCCCCGCTCACTCGTGCTCTCTCTCTCTCTTAAATATTTTAAAAACAAATAAATAAAATAAATAAAAAGTGCTTTTGTATCACAGCTGAGCAGAAAGTGTCAGAACAAAGTGGGGCCCAGGCACTTGGATACACTTTCCTTTTGTGAGGAGGTTTCCTCACGTTATATCTGCATGTCTCTGGAGAAACTCATTCTTCATTATTTCTACTATTTTGTAGTCTTGACTTATCAGCTACACCTTGGACTAAGACAGTGTCTAATGATCTGGTTCAAAGTACGGATGAATTCAGGCTTTGCTGACCTGAGGAGCACTTCTTTCCAAGCACGCATAGTTGAATATGGTGGACCAACATGGCTACAAGCACTTATTAATCTTCCTTTCTGGTGTCATTTAAAAAAATAAAAATCAACCACTGAGCAAAGAGACTTGCAAAATTTCAGGTAAACATGATGCAGTATTCACTCCATAATCAAAATATCATGGTAAGACGTTGAAGGTGTTTGTGTTTTAAAAAAAGTCCTTGTCTGATGTCTCTACTGAATATATAACTTAGGTTGGTACCAGTTTAAGTTCAAGAACTGAACTCTTTAAGATAGGATAAAATGAGTTATTTTTTTATATAAAGAAGAATGAGTTTAAAGGGGAAAAAAATCACAGATTTCCATTATAAACCCTTCTTTTATTTAAATGATATTTTGGTTTTTAGTTGTAACAAGCTCAGGAGGACAATACCAGCCATGTGGGAGAGGGGTCTAATTTCGTCAGGAGGAGATGAGAATCTGCTTTTTTGAGGCACTGAGGAGTCAAAAAGATTAATGACATTCTATTTGGAAGAAATCATTCAAGTTGAATTCTGGGAATTTTGCTTTAATGACACTTCGGTAGATGACTGAAAATCCTGTGATTTCAGAGTCTCCTGAAACCACGGTGATTTCACTGCAGACACCCCACTCTGAGGCCAGATGCCCAGCTTCCAGTGAAGTTCACCTGCGCTTTCCAGTTTTAGGCATGCTAATGATCTTTTGATTCAGAAGACGATACTGCATCGTTACCAGAAGCAAACGTCACAAAAGCAAGCATCCAAAGTGACGAGGAGCAATGGGAATTCTTGCAAAGATGATTAAGGAAGGCTGCTAGTCATTTACTGATCTGTGGCAAGAGCACAAAAATGGAAAAGCAGTTACATTGAATGGGTAGCATGGTAACAAGACTCACACTGTGCCGGTAGAATGGGTCAACTTTTGTAGGGTATTTGTCAAACTGTAAAGGGATCAAAGCAAAAGCTAGTTACTTAAAGAGTCTACATTTCTGTTCACTGCTTCAGCGGAGGCCGCCCTAAGTCAGCTTCTCTGTCATTAGGCTGTTATCCGACTCCATAACCTCGCTGTATTAGGAGGGAACCCTTCTTCACTCCTGAGTTGCTCCGACAAGAAACGGAAAAGCAAAGTGAGAACCCATTCGGTGCATTTAGGCCCTGGTCGCACGAGAGTGTCTTTCTTTCTGGTCTGTTTTTAGAGACTGGCACAAACCAGACGTCTCAACTGGAGAAAGAGGCAATTATCCAGATCAATCACAGAGAAGTGAGCATTTGGTCTAATTCATCCAGAGATTCCCTGTTTTCATCTTCCCTTTGGCAGAAGAACAAGTACGTTCGGCCACCTACTGAGATGTATTATACCCACATGGAAAGGCATCTGGGCAGGGTCTTAAAACTTTTCTTTTGAGCAGAGAAGAGGATACCTCTACTTCCTCTAAATAACGTCAGCATCCTTGTGCTGTAACCCCCCACCCTGGATTTCATTTATCTGTGTAACAGATCACTCACGCTGCCAGAAACTCTTTTTCAAGATAATAGGCCCTTAAAAATATAACCGCTGAAAAGTATAATTCATCCAGAAAAATGACACAGGATTTGTTATAGGAAAAATTTTGGTTCCAACATCTCATTTCTAATATTCTCCTAAATAAATTTAGAAAATAGACTTCAAAATCTATATTTAAAAAAACTAAGTTGAACAAAATAGGGAGGGGGAGGGAGGAGAGGATGCAATGTTTGGTGGAGAGTGCACCTCTCAAAATCACAGAATTCAAATCTATTCTCACCATGCCGATACTAAATCAAGTATTTCCTTATATACTAAAAGTTAGGTAAGTAAAGCACCCCAGTACTCACGGTGGCAGACGGGGCTCTATCTCAGCATATTTAGCACCCTAATATGGCACTATTCATTATGGTTCGTAAGTTTAAAAAAAAAAAAAAATCCTAACTGGTTCCCCTGGCATGTGCTGGACCTAGTCGAGACCAAGACCATGTCCTTGTCAGCAGCATCTTCTACCACAAGACCGAGTTCTGCCCCGAGGGGCCCACAGCTCCCTGAGCACTTGCTGACAGAGCAGGATACCAGCCTGGGGCACCATCTTATGAAACACAAGCGACAGAATCCCCCCTCAACAAAATAGGCTTCGGGGAGCCACCTGAAAGAGCAGGGGGTCACAGACACGGTCCAGGTCTTCGGACGGCTCTCTCCCCTCCTCGGCCCTCCTCCTGACTCCCGGAATTCTACGAGCATTTATCTGCTACGACTTGGTGTGAAGCACAGACAGGTACCTTTTTCGAAGTGGTGGCAATCCCCCAAGATGCTCAAGAAGACAAAATTACCCTTTAAGAAGTTAACTACCAACACTGGATGGGACGGTTTGGAGGGCATCGAGAATACCCCCCTCCCCATGCACACGCATAGTACTAGACAGAACTTTCTAGAAAGAAGTGCCTACCTGAGGCCCTGGGTTAGTGCTGCCTGGAGCAGGGCACATTCCCTTCTCGCCAGCAGAGACGGGCAAGGCCGAGGGAGCCCCCTAAGTGGCTACCGCTCCCCATTCCATCTCCTGTGCCCCGAAAGCCCGTTCCACCCCAGCGTGCGCTGCATCAAAAAAGAGTTGTGCTCTACTTATCCTCACATTTCTGCCTGGGGTACGCACCATGGGAGGTGCTGGCGTCGGCATGATGGCGGTGGGCGGGATGGCGTGGGGGAACGGCGTGAAGGTGTGCTGGTGCGTGTGCTGGTGCGTGTGCTGGTGCTGGTGCTGGTGCTGGTGGAACTCGGTCCGCAGGTAGGGCGGAGGGCCCAGGGACGCCCCACGGTCAGCGCTCTGAGAGGCCAGAAAACGTGTGTTCAGTTCCTGTCGCAAGATGTCTTGCTCTGGAAAAGAAGGGGAGGGAGAGGATGACGCTTCTTGCCACATCAGTAATATCCTTCTGATCAGGACGTCTGAGTACCTGACCAGAGGGGGACAAGGACCAAGGGCGCCCCCGAAAGCCCCTGTGCCCCCAGATGGGAGGGGACCACCGACCGGAGGATCCTGACAGCCAGTCACAATCGGATTGTGTTCTTCTAGGCTCTCGGCTTTCGGGGACAGGCTCCAGGCCGAATAGCCAGAGGCTGATTTTCAGCTCTGTTGGCATCAGCTCAGGGAGCCAGGGCCTAGGCAGTCACCCGTCCGGGGCTCGGTTCCCTCCTCTACCATAGGGGGACGATAATATTGTCCACGTTGTGGGCTGTTTGCGGGGGTTCGAGGAATTACTTAAGTGCTTAAGAACGGTGACTGCACCCCGATCTCCGTTACCACGGCCATGTTCTCGTGCCTTCTTCTTCAAGGGGGAATTTCTGCAGTAGGGGTATAACGTGGCGATGATGGACCCCAACTTGGGATCCCAGCCTGATCAATACAGGGGAGGAGAAGAGGGGCCAGTAGCTAACACTCGATTTTGTTAACACAACGCTCTGGGCACGAAAAGTGCATCTTCCCCTCTGAAGAAGGGAGAAGGCCCTACTCATTGAAAACAAACCCCTTAAACCAGGATGGAATTCTCAGAGCCTGGAATGGAACAGTCTCTGGGCCTGGCAATGTTTCTGTCCCTCTCACGGGAGCCCAGGAGACAGGGCGTCTACAATCCGTGTGTTCCCACTCAGTGGGTGAACTCAGTTGGAAAGCCTCCTGACTTCCAACAAACTGCTTCCCCCTGGCAGTTGTCTGGGCCGGTATGGTGCTGGTACATGTTTTGGCTGAACTTCAGCCCATACAGGGCTGGAGGAAGGCTACAAGAATACATCTAACAAAGCAGGAAATCATCAAAAGAGAAAACCCAGCCCAAGGGGCAGCACAGACAGAGGCCACCAGCGCGAGACATGGGGGATGGGGGTTGGGGGGAGGGGCTCGGGGGGCCGCGGCGGGAGGGCTCCTCCCTCCTACCTGAGTAAGTGCTTCCGGCCGGGTGTCCGGGGACCTGCAGACTCCCTGAAGTCAGAGGTGGTGGAGGAGGCAAAGCCGTGGGAGGGGCAAACATATTGGGGTGATGTGAGTGTGCGGGGGGCTGGAGGGTGGGCGTGAAGCTGTGCAGGGGGCTGTGGTTGGGCAGTGCGAGGGGGAACGGGGAGGCCGAGGGGTGATGAGAGATGTGAGGAGGGGCGGGCTGAGTCTTTGCTGGAGTGCTGCTTCTGCTACTGCTGTGGGAGCAACCACCAAAAAACAAAAAAAAATAAAATAAAAAAATTAAAAAAAAGGAAGAAGAAAGGAAAAAAGAGGTAAGACTTTTATTTTCTTAAAAAAAAAAAAAATTCTATCTCCCTGCCCAAAGGCATTCAACACTTTCTCCTGCTTCTTCCTCTTTACACTCTTTACAGACCCCGCCCCGGGGAACACAAGAAGCTTCTGCTATGATCACAACCGCAGACAGCACAACAGGAGCTGAGGCCCCAGAGCTTTGGCCGAAAACCCAGGTCCGCTCCCCACTCTGCTGCCAAGTTCTCATCTCTGCCCCTAGGAGCCCTGCACCCTCCCATCCTCCACTAGCCACACATCCTACAGTTTTCAGAGAGGAGTAAGAACAATGGCCTGAGCTCACCCCATCTGACTGTGACCCCCTTCAATGAAGAAGCACCAGTAGGAGGTGAACCAGGGAACCCCTGATCAGCGCTCGGGTCTGGGGGCCACGGACATGAACTCGGGGGCAGAACCCTGGCGAAGGCAGTTTCCTTCTCCTGTCCTAGACAGGAAGCAGCAAGCCCCAGAATCCCCCTAGTCACCAGGTTGTCACAAGGGAAACAAAGTCACAAGAGTCCCGGGAGGTTAGAATTACAACCCCCGGGGCCAAGCAAGGGTGAGCCATGCTTGGCCCCATACCCTGGGGTTTCGGGCTCCCTTTCCTTGGCAGTCCTCCACTGTGCTACTTTGAAAACTCTCCTTTGTAGTTTGGCAAAGACGAGGCAGGAGAGAGCCTGGATCTCCACCACAGGGCTCCTTGTTCTCCAAACGTAGCTTGCTTCTCGGCCTCTCGGACCGCCTTGGAGGTCCGTGGTAATGGAAAAACCTCAACCAGAAACCTCCCTGGTCCCCATCTTCCTGACTCTGGAGTCGCAGGTAGATGGCGCACCCTCGAGTCGTTCTCCCTCGGAGGCAAATGGCCTCCCTTCTAAGACTCTCCCAGCGCTGGGTGCCCCTCAGGTTTCTGCGCTGGTGCTCATGCATGCCGCCCCTTCCCTGGGCCGTCTCCCTGCCCTCCGGGCCCTGCTTCCCGAGAACACCGCGACAGTGTGTTTGCAACAAGAAACGCCAGTCTCCTTGGGAACTCCTTACCCACTCCCACCTGAAGAAGAAGGCAACATTCAGGCCAAAAAAGCAGGCTGGCTCACCTTAAGCTGTTGAGGCTTAAGCTACTGCTGTTGTAGGCTGACAATGGCTGGGAGAGGCTCTGGGACGAGGGGTGGGCCTGCACGGGCGGGAGGCTCTGGTGGAGCAGCTGGGCAGGGGACTGCGGCCTCGGTGGCCTCTGCACTGGAGGCTGAGGGGCAGGCTGAAGCTGGGCCTCTGGGGGCGCCTGTGGTGGCTGTGTGCTTGGACGTGGGGGCTGAGGCGGGGCCTCTGTGCGCTGCACCAGGTCGGGGTCTGGAGAAGGAGCTCGTGGCTGGGGCTCCGCCTGGGGCTGGGGCAGCGGCTGAGGGACCTGAGGGCAGGGGTCTTTAAGCACCAGGGGCTCAAAGATCGGCTCTTTGCAACAGTCCTGGCTCTTCTCCTGGCTTCTCTCTAGACCCGATATCTTGGGGACAATCGGCCCTGCATCCTGGCTGTCATGTTCCGGGAGCGTGCCAACAGCTAACTCCGGATCTGTATGGGGGAGAACAAAGACAAAATCACAGGCATTGACACGTGAGTGTGAAATACGGAGCAGAAAGCCAAGTCCAAGCCCAGACCCCACAGTCCCACCAACATGGCACACAGCCTGGTGCGACGTCCTGACGTGACCGCGTGCGGGACATGAGCACACCACGACCAGCGCCGATGGTAGATGGGCAAAGGCGAGCCAAAGGCGAGCCGTCCGCAGGAGGCTGCGTTCCAGAAAGCGGCCTAGGCCACCAGAGTCTGAAAATGCAGGTTGACTTTAATCCTGACAGAGCCTTTTATGCAGCAAAATTAAGAAACGATAGCTGACGAGTTGATTTTTTCCCTTTTCAAATATATACAGTTCTTGAATATACAAAAGAGCGGTGTTTTCAAACAGCGAGTGAAGCAAATGTTATTTAACCACACACAGATGTTTCTTCTTGGCCTCGCCTCTTCCCCTTTCCATTCTGACTGATGAGACACACTTGACATTTACAGAAATAATTTTGTGTTTGGCAAGTGCTAAACTCTGGTCAAACGTCGGGCCTCCTCATGCTCACCAACTAATCCTAGCAATGTCTGAGATCCAAGGTGCAAACATGAATTCCAACCAATTTACAGCCAACTACACATGCCAGACATTTTAAAGGGTCCTGCCACCCCTATGGACCACTGGGTGCAATGTTGAATGCTGACGCGAAGTCTGGATGTATAATTTAAGTGAAATTCCACAACCATGGAAGAAATGTAGAAGGTACATGCTCCTGTTATGAATTAAAAAGATAGGCTTCTCTGGGTGCCTGGGGGGCTCACTTGGTTAAGCGTCCGACTCTTGGTTTCGGCTCAGGTCATGCTCTCAGGGCTGTGGGATCAAGCCCTGTGTTGGGCTCCGTGCTCAGCATGGAGTCTGCTTAAGATTCTCTCTCTCCTTCTCCCTCTGCCCCTGCCCATCCTGCTCATGTGTGTGTTCTCTTTCTAAAATGAAGTCTTAAAAATAATAATAAAAAAAGAAAAGGTATGCCTCTCCCCAAACCTCCATGCCACATCACAAAGTGGTTATTTGATGAGCCCGTAAGTCCAACTCTATCAAATCCTCTAACAGGAGAATGAAAGACAAATATGGCATTAAATAGAAAGAAATGCCCCGATTGGTGCATAAGTACTTTTGTATACATCTAGGGGGGAAGTGACCTTTCCCACATCTTTGTGCTAAAAAAGCCATCCTTTTATTATCATACAGCTCAGAAATAGGAAGAGAACAGATTATAATATTCTCCAAAATCAGGATGTGTTCCAGGCATTCCTTAAGAAACTACTTTGGGCATGATCTTTCTCTTCCAATCTCACTGTATCAAGTGTGAGAAATACATGGTATTCTCCTTGGTCCTATCCATTTCTGCCGATGTCCTCTCGGGTACACACACTTTGCTATTTTTCTTCCCTGGAATTTGTGTCAAAGCAACCCGTTATTTCCACTGTTCTTTTGGTAAAAGGGATGAAACCTGTGACACGCACAAAAACCCAGAAACCCAGAAACAAACTGGGTTTATAAACAAAGCACATTTTTGGCTCAAGTGACCTTGGCTCCCTTTACGCCTCACAGAACAGCCTGGAACAAACGCACTGACAGCATATGCAAAGGCAGTACCCTCCTTACGTGTCTCGGCTCCACGGATAAAGCATTCAATAAGGCCCCGGTGAAAAGTAACTCTAGACTTCTGGCGTCCCACTCACGCATATTTCCTTCCAGTGCTGTCCGTCAGAACTTTTCTGGGAAGATTTTTGCTTGTGATAAGCTGAGACTTTAGGAATTCCTAAAAACCTTAGTTTCTAACTTGAGGGCTGAGAACATCAAGATTCTTGATGTGGACAGACCCCATGCAGCCAAAACTCCTAAATCATGAAAGAAGACCCTTTTATCTGCAGACATCCACACCCAGGGGTCCTGGCTTGGCTTCTCTTTCAATGTTTTTGCTATCATTTCCACAAGATTACCATAGCAAGTACTTACATGAGCTTAGGGAGGTACACAGGCTTCCCACAATGGAAGAGGGTTAGTTAGGTCTGGGGCAGAAGCACTAACATCCCAGACATCCTAACCGCACAAAATACAAGAGATTCTCCTCAGTGAGGGGTGCTTCCAACTCTGACACTCAGACGGCTAATTTAGGATTATGATGCTTGCTATAATAGCAGGAACACATTTCTATCCTTTTGAAGTGCTTTGTTCTCCCTGGACTGGGATGGTGAAGAATAAATACATAAGTATTCTCCATCTCGTTAAATTTAAGTTCAAATTCATGTTCTCCCTCCAAAAATCAGGGTCCAAAGTTTCTCTCTGACATAAAAGAAAGTTTTCTCTTCCAAGGGACACCACCCAGAGGCTATCAACTTAGATTTTCTTATGCCAGTAAGGAAGCACATTAGAAACACACAGCTAAGTGCTTTGTTTATGTAGCCTGACTATATTTATCTCCTTGTTCTTTATTTAATGGGCTTCTAGAATGTGGACGACACAGCCAGGGAAGTATGCCGGGGGCATGGTGCAGGTGTGGGCTCGCTTCCCAAGGTTCTGTAAAGGCAAACAGGGTTGGCTTTCGGGTCTCCTCTGTTGTCCCATTGTCGTTGTGGGTTAGCACCAACGCAGACCCAGCCAGAACGAGGGCTGTGATGAACGACTCAGAGAGGACCCAGAAGCACAGAATTTCGACACAAGACCAGAATCTGGGAAACCATTTCAGCACTTCTCAAACATTTAAAATGCATACAAATGACCTGGACATCTGATTAAAATGCCGGGCTGGACTCAGGAGTTCTGGGGTGGGGCTCCAGAGTCTCCCTTTCTGAGAATTTCTCAGGTGATACTCCTGAGGCTTGGACCCTTCTGTGAAAAGCAAGGAACTTATCCAATCCTCTCCGATAAGATGGGGGGAAAAGCCCAGAGAAGCTAAGCAACTTGCTTGCTGGTGGTCACCTGGCTGTTTAATAAATCAGATGACTTTCCCAACTCTGGTTACCACTCATTGCTTTTTCTCTGACTTCCACTTTGCTGCCCCCTCCGAAGTAAAAATCCTAAAGCAAAGCAGGAATCCATTAAAATATTTGGTACAATGAGATGGTACAAAGGGCTGGTTAGGAGAGCTACAAAGAGTTACAGGAGCGGAGCACTTCAGCTAAACCTGAAAGCTATCACCAATCCATCGATGCCCCGTTGCTGTGAAGCCTGCAAGCAAGGCAGTGGCAGGTTGTAAGGCTGGTAAGAACTTTGGGGCTGAGACAGTTTCACAACTCCGCATTTACACAACTCTCTTGAGGCACAGATTAGGCGTCATGCGTTTTTGTGGCTAATCGGTAATGCATTTCCTCTTCTTTTCAATTATTCAATAAATGTATCTTCCCAGTTAAGCTTTTCCATTTTGACAGTCAATTTGTCTTACTGTGCTTCTCCAAAATTGGCAAGAACACATTACCAAAAAAAATCATTTTGTATTGCTCTGTGTGCTCTGAGTTTGCCAAAGGATGAAATTTGCTGAGGTTGGGAAGAAATAAGAATGTGCAAATTGACTAGTCTTATTTACAAGTTTTACTCATTACATTTTGGGGTTTTAAAATCTCTCTTCTGTGATTATAAAAATAGCACATCGTGCTTATAATACATGCAAATTAAAATTACACTGCACAGTGTACAGTACAAGGGGTGAATTTGCTACATGTAAATTGTATCTCAATAACCTTGACTCAAACACAATGTATTTTTTAAAAAGGTAAGGGCAGATTTAGAAAAATCTGTTTAATTTTGATCCAAATTTGATACAAGTTCCCTGGGGAAAATGGAGCTTGCTAGTACTTTACTAGTAGAATAAAAACCTACAACTTCTGTGGAGGGCAATTTGGCAACACTGAGCCAAGAAACTAAAGAAGCTCAGCAAGGATTTATAGACACAATGAAACAATTGCTTTGAATTGCAAGTTTGGAAAGAACTAAAATGTAATCCTTTGGGAACTGGTTACACATAAATCTGATACATCCATACAATGGAAGATGTTACAGTGCATACAACCTACTGGCATATTGCTAAGCTTCTGTGAAAACCAGAAGAAAAGTAATATATATTCATTTTCCTTTATGCATAAAGAAGCTCTAGAAGAGTGCCTAAGACACTAGTAGGGGGCTCAGGCAGAAGAACAGACAGGGAGCTAGAGGAGGGGGAGATACTTGACTAAACACATATATACATATTTAATTTTTGAGTCATGTGATCATGTTACCTGTTAAAATTCTTAAAGGAAAACTGGTCCATTTAAGAACAGTTTGAGCAAGAAAAAAAAAAAGCACAGCAAACAAAACTGAGAATTTGAATAGTGGTAGGACCATAGACATGGAGAGTGTATGTTATATAAAGTAAGACACTAGAATGCACAAGTATATAATAATAAATACAAAAATGAAATGAATTTTATGAAAATATATTACCAAAACTGACTCAAAAACAAACAAACCTGATCATAGAAGTAAACTGGAAAGACTCAATGACAGACACCTTCCCCTCAATCCAGAAATATACCCCAGGTATATTTAGTGTTATAGACAATGTGGACTGAACCTGTAAGAAACAAACTATTCCTGTCATTTACGTTAAAAACCAACAGCAATATGACAAAAGGAAGAGGAAAAATGCCTATTTACAAAAAATGTAATTATTGGGGCGCCTGGGTGGCTCAGTCGTTAAAGCGTCTGCCTTCGGCTCAGGTCATGATCCCAGGGTCCTGGGATTGAGCCCCGCGTTGGGCTCCCTGGCTCAGTGGGAAGCCTGCTTCTCCCTCTTCCGCTCCCCCTGCTGGTGTTCCCTCTCTCACTGTGTCTCTCTCTGTCAGATAAATAAATAAAATATTTTAAAAAATATATAATCATCTAGCTAGAAAACACAATCTGCTGAAAAATATAAGAGAACTCAGCAAAATACCCAAATAAGAAAACCCCACAAACTTCTGTAGCTTTTCTA